AAGAAAGTACTGTTGCCATCGTACAAAGCACTGGTGAGCCCTCATCTGGAATTTAGCATACAACCTTGAACACTTGTGTTTAAAAAAGCAGTAGTGTAATAAAGGGGTAGTGGGAGGGGGTGCTGACTTTGGGGGGCAGAAATATAGCAGGAGCTGCACTGCTGGACTGGATGTTGCCACTTCCAACAGAGAAGCCACCAATGCTGCCCCGTGCACTGCTGTCACCAAGTTATGCCTCTGTAAGAAAGACTTGAACTGGAATAGGGAATGGTTATAAAAATGAATGGTGGAATGGAGAGCCTATCTGATGTGAAGAGGCCAAAATTGCTTGGCTTATTTAGCCTAGCAAGATGAATGCAGAGTGGATGTGATTGCTCTGTTTAGAAACATCAGGGAGGGTAAAAGAAATTTAAGCTGAAGGAGAAGCTTGCACAAAAAGAAATGGGTATATGAACTGACCAAAAATGAATTTAGGCTGGAAATTAGAATAATATTCCTCACCACTGCATCAGTGAGATTCTGGAACAATCACCTAATAAGTGTGAGGCAAAAGCACTAACTCAGTTTAAGATGGAGCTTGATCAATTTCTGAAAGAGCTGCTATGATCTATCTATTTGTGTGTGTAGAAAAGGACTGGCTCATGAAGTACCTTCTAGCTCTGTTTTCCAACTGAGGCTCAATTTAGCAGGGTCACCCAGTGACTTACTTCTAAGTTCATAGTACAGACAGCATGTTATCTGCGATTTAGGGGACCACCCTGCTCAGCAACACTCTTTAATAGAGCCATCCACACAACCGCTTCTTTTAAAGAGCTGTCTTCTTTTATCTGCAGTTGTCTTAGCTTCAGAGTAGAACAGCAGGCTAGCAATGCCTCCTACTCCCTGGAATCTTCTGGGAAGCATCTCTTATATACTTGCCACTGGGAACTGGAGACCTTGGCTTCTCCCTATTTTCGTCTCTCTTGGGAAGCAGGACGATTTGGATTTTCTCCATCCCTTCACCCCGCTTCGTTCTGTCCCCTTCAGTGTTTTGTGTATATTACTTATCTCCAGAAACTGCTCTCCCTAACCCCCATCCTCTCAGTACTGTCTTCTCATCTGTGTCACTTGGCACTCTGCAACAACTTTTGACAGGTGACACTGGATAAACACTAAATTGTTCTGGCTAAGTGGAGACGGTTTTAAACCCCCAATTGAGGGAAAAGCTTGAGAAATGTGTAGTGGAAAGAAAGAGAAAATGGAACAAAACAGAAAATGTAGAGCATTGTTCTATCTTTTTTGCCTAAAGAAAAAGTCTAACATTCGGCAATACAGACCTACATTTAAAGGCAACTGAGAAAGAAAACAGAACTATGAATCAGGATCTTTGGCTAACGCACTTCACATTCCAACTTTTTCTTGTCGCACCCACACCACACAGTTATGACTCCTTTTCATCCCAAGCTCACTACTATTCTTAAATTTCTCCTTGAAGATTGTATGTGGCATGAGTCCTATCCCCCCCAACAGTGCTTTGAAATCACACGAGTAGGAGCTCAGAATACAGAAATAGTTTCATAGACAGTTGTCCCTAAATGCTGATCATCTTTGCCTGGCAGTCTAGCAACACTGCAGTTGCCTTACTTGAAATCCTAGCATGGGAATAGGTTCAAAGTGTGTCCAAACTTTTCTATTGCCTGAACATCTTCATTCCTATCCCTTTCAAAACCTCCCCATACTAGAGAATTATTCCATTACATATATACTCTCTTTTTTGCATGTTTTAAAACTACTAGCTTCTTACCTGTTCTTTATCTGTAACTTTCATACTCTGAAATACATAAAACTGGTACCGTACATAATGGATTGTCTGAGTTTTCACAGAATAAATACACTTTTTCCACCAAAAAACAAAACAAAACCCCAAAAAGTTGTGAACATGATATAACTGAATTGCATTGTATGTTTTGTTAACATCGCCTCCCATTATTTAGCCAGCTGTAACATTAATACACCTCCCAATAAGCTCTGAATAACATGATGCTTTCTGTTTATGCTATGTATAAATTGATCCAGTCCTTAACATTTTCAGCCATGAAACTGCTGTGCAAGAGGAAGGAAAAAGACAGAAAAGTGAAAAGAAAGAGGAGTGGCTGCTGGGTTTTTTGATCAGCATGAGATCTTCACTGGGTGATTTCGTATGCTTACTTAGTATAATGTATTTTCTAGCCACGCTTGATTTTATTATCCATTTATGTTTTTGCAGAAGAGACATCCATTATAGATAATGGAATCTCCAACTGCTACTTAGATGACTAATCTTACATGATAAAAATTTAAAGACTTTTAAGCAAAAATTAACTAGGTCATAAATTGATGGAGTCAAGAGACAGAAACTGTAAAGGTTCACAGAGGTGCTAAAGATTGTGCTTGAATGACTGTAGTTATGGGGAAAATCCCAGATAAAGGTATTACTTCCATAAGGATCCAGCTCCCCACTCTCCCTGCCTGGCTCCACAGCCCCCTGCCAGCCTGTGCCCCGCTTTGGGCCCCACCAGTGCTGGCCCTGGGACACTGGTCCCAAGACACTGGGACATTGGTCCCAAGATGGTGACCAGGGGGTGGGGCACCTGTCAAGGGACAGGGCTACCCATGTGGCCCTCCACAGCCTGCCAAAACTGGGTAAATGGCCCTCCGCCCAAAATAATTGCCCACTCCTGAGTTAAACAGAAGTTGCTATTCAATCTGTTTTTCAGCTTGGGGCGATCTCCTTCTTTCCCAGACATGAGGAAAGGCATTTTTATGCCCAAAAGCTTGTCCAGTAAAGGTATCACCACACAAACCTTGCTTCTCACATATTCTCAGAACCATCATGGCTACAACATACACACTGACTAATTGGGGAGGAAAAACCCCAAAACAAAACAAATAAGGGAGAGGTAGCTTCTGGCACCTGAAAGTGGATAGACAATTCCAACACAGAAATACTGTTTCCTCTGCACCAATCTTTCCTTCTACTGCTTTCAGTTTGTTACTCTGGGATACCTCGCTCATATTCTCAAAGTATAAGAACCCCAAAGTGCAATTACTCCAGCAGCTATACAACAGCTGGAAAAAAAGCTTTCACAAAAGAAAGCATCTTTGTTGAGAAGAGGTAATGTCAGTGGCATAAATCATGGTTTGATGAGAACTGTTCTAATGCTAAAGATTATTTAATAGAAGTCTTGGAGGATTACAAATAAAAAAAAAAAATCATTCTTCTAGTTTCCAGTAGATCAAGAAAATTAAAATAAACTATAAAAATATAGAAAGGAGAAACTATATCAAATAAAGCTATGGGAGGGACTGGTAGCCACAGGGAAAACATAACAATAACTAATGTTTTTGGTAGATTACAGCCAAAGGGACAAAAAAAGTAGCTTGATTCCTGAGGCATATATTCCTGAAGATATATGGGTTTTGTTGTTTTTTTTTAAATAAGTTTAACAGCTTACTTACAGATGATGAAGAAAATGATGGCTTCTTAATGAAGGAAATGTTATCTGTTAAACCACAAACAAAACAGATCGTCATCTCACCTCTGAATCGCAAGACTTACTGAATAGTGGAAAAGGCCCCTGGCCTTGATTTTCTTCCCCAGAAATCTTCAAGGAATTCATTGAGCGGTAGTGGAGAGTTTTAAGGAAAAAAAAATGTTAGAAGGTATTGGAATGAAGATGAAATATCACCATTTGTAAAACCTGGAACTAAGAGAGATCCTAGAGCATATCATTCCATTACTCTTCTGTATATTCCAGCCAAAATATTTGAGAGATGTTTACTTTTTCATCTTCAGGCATGGATTTCTGAAAATAATGTTTTAGAAGAACAGACCAGTTTTAGAGAAGACTATTCTTGTATAGACCATTGCTTAGTGTTGCACTGTTTATCATCTAAATATGTAAAAAGACAAAAGAATTTATACGTAGTCTTCATAGATCTGAAGGGTGATTTGACTCCATAACCAGATTAACATTACGAAAAAAAACTGGCAATAACATCACTGGATAAAGCTCCCCTACAATTAATCATTACTTACTATTCAAATACAACATTTACGGTGCATTATGAGATAGGAAGCTATTGGACAGGACATAACCAAACTGAGACAGGAGTACAATAAGGGTGTTTGCTTGCTCTGATACTTTTTATTCTGTTCTTGAATTATTTAAAACATGTGCTAGCAGGAAATCAGTTCCATACACCCATAGTACTGAATAACCCTATCCCTGTCTTTGTTCATGCAGGTGATGTATCATTGAAGTCACAATCCCAAACAGGCTTCCATAGGTTATTATGGAAGATGTTTTTCAATAGTATGGCACCTCAAATAGTTTGGAAATCAAAATAGATAAATCCGAAGCATCAGTTTTGGGAATGAAAGGAGGAAACAAATCTGGTTTTCACACACAAAGAAATTAGAGATGGTGCCTCCCTTTAAATACCTTGGAATCTATTTTAATAAACATCTGAGCTGAAATAAATGCATTACAAATATAAACACTAGAGCAAAACAAGCCTTGTTTGGAGTTTTATCCTTTTACAATAAGATAGCTAAAAGGGTGGTACAGGCAGCACTAAAAGTCTATAGATCTGAAGCAGAATTCATTTTAATGAATAGAGCAGAACTATGGGGTACTGACCCTATAGTCCACACCAAAACAGAAAAAATAGAAGAGATCTCCAATGACTTTTAAAAGCAGCTTTTATCTCAACCTAATTCTATGATGTGTGGATGGGAGCCTCATGCACTTTTGACACACACACACACACACACACACACACACACACACACACACTTTAGTTAGTCTATATGATATAAATCTACCCTGCCTTTTACTTAAAACTATACCTTCATTCAAGCTAAACTGGTGCAACTCTCTCACACAGATAAGCCTTTGTTCCCCACAGTCAAGCTTAATGATGTTTTACATAATTTGTCAGCATAACAAATAAATCATGGACAGACAATATTAGTCAGCAGTATTTTTTAATGATGTTTTTATTTTACAGGATACAAATTATAAGTATTGAACAGGAATTAAAGTGCTTAATTTTACAATAATCCAACTCCCACCTTTATGACCAAATATACATATGTTACAGAAAATATATACAGTATCTGCAAATATTTTACATTCATATATTTCTTAACCAGAAAAATTACCACTTAGATTTGCACAACTTTAAATTTTGCCTCTTTTTAACATTCTGCAATTCAATGCAAAACAAGAACAATTCACACCTCTTCAAAAGATTAGTATTTATACAAACCAAAACATTTCCCCCCCCTCTAAATCAAACTGCAATCAATGCTTCCATGATTAAGGGAGATCCTAATGCAATGCATGTAGAGTTGACATTACATACTAGGGCCAATCAAGTTCTCAAGAAAGTAAATATTTTAACTTGTATTGGCTGTAGTGCTCATAATAGAGGTATGTAAAATACAGTGGCCATCCACATTCGACACACTTGCCTGCCTTCATTAACATAAATATGGCATCTCTGCATACAAAACAAAACTTTAGTTGCAGTTTACCCCCCGCCTTTTTTAAAAATGTTTTCAAGGGTCTAGAAGGAAAAACTACAAACTGAAGTGGGCTAATATTACAAATTGACTGAATACTTATTTTATACCTGGAAATCACCTGCTTAAATGTTTTTAAAGAACAAAAGCAAGTTTACACTCATTTAAGTATTGCTAGGTAAGGAGGAAAAGAAAGGAAATGTCCTGAATAAAAGTTCAGGAATAGTTTAATGAAGAGGCAGTACAGGAGGCATATTGACTCTGTTACTGGATTTTAGCTTATTTTATAAATCAATCAGAAACCATAAACATGGCATGCAAGTAGATCCACTTGTGTTGATTTTTACACTTAAGATATGACCAACATTGTCAATATATATTACCTGTATTTTTACTTCATCACAGTGTAAAATGCCGTCTGAATTAGATTGGTCCTGCCTGTTAGTTATAATGGTCTCTCTCTCTCTATATGTATATATTCATTAAGTGACCATGTTATATGAAAGGGCAAAAACTGAAGCAGCAATATGACTGGCAGATTAAGTCTCATTACAGACTCAAGGATCAGTATCATTTACATTAACTTCTGTATGTCAATATGGGCAAGAATTGGAAATAAAAACCACAAGAATTTTTTTCTTACAGTTCATTTTTACCTTATCACACATAATAACTACAGACCTGGACTCACACATTTCACCAATTTTTTTTTTTTTTTAAATGTAGGCAATATTACTCATACATTTGTTATTTCCCTTCTCCATTCTTGTCTTACTTGTTCTCAGGGACTTCTGGCTGCTTAGTCTCACCTACATTAAACCAGTCATTTCAGGATTACTTCATTATCACAAATTAAGGATTATGGGCTTTATTAAACCCCCAGTAAAATCAATTTGAAGTCAGATGTGGCTCTATGACCCCAAAGAACTGGCAGGAGCAGCAACATGCCTAAAGACTGAAAGAACCTGGTTTTCATGCAAAGAACTGTACATAATATAGGACAAATATTGGAGCAGTGTAAATCATCACAGCTTGATCACCTCTAATAGAGGAATGCCAATTAACAAACTCACAATCTCTTCTGAACTTTTTCTTGGAAGTGGGTCTCTCTCATTGCTGAGAATTATTTCTATATAGAATAATTTTTTTAAAACTTTCCACAATGAGAAGGAATCTCTACAACTAGAGCTGATCAAATAAAACACATTAACATTATTTTTTTCTGAAATTCCCCCTGTTTAGTTTATTTTCCCCTGGAAATTAGAAATCTGACATTTACTGTACAAGGTCTATAGGTGGTTGTTAAAAAAAAGGGATTTTGAAAAAATGTCAACTCTCCCTCCCTCCACCCCATCTCATCAGGTTTCAAAAATACTTGATCCACTCTACTTAAGTTCCCCATTGAATCTTTGTCTGGTACCCCTTTTACAATACATACAGTTTGTGCCTCCTCTTCCATATTTAAATAAAAGGAAGAAATAATTCCTTATTTTACAACAACCTTAATGATTTGTAATGCACTTTGAGTTCCAAAGGTGCTACATTCTCTCTCTCTCACGCACACACTTTACAGTCATCTAATATTTTCCATATTCTGCTCCAAGGGGAAGAGAATGTTCTCTCTTCTCAAGGCTTGCTTTTTCCTGTGGATTTGGGGCATTTAAATATACAAGTACTCCTGTCAGAGTCAAGAGGCTAGACTTTAAACATATCAGCTGATGTAGATATGTCAAAGATCAATTCTTTTGCTATACTTATGTATTTTGTCCTTGCAAGACACCAGGAAAAAGAAAACGTTAAGTAATTTGGCACATGTGTTTACTGCAAGATGCACACAGCCATTACACAATGCCTGGAATTCAGAGTCACTTATTGCATGCTGTCTCACTAGAAGGGAATAGATCTCCACAAGCTGTTTACTATAAAAAAGTTAAATAAATTATTAGGTCAAAAACTTAACACTACAGATTTATACAACCGTAACAATTCAAAGCGAGCAAGGGCTTAAGTCTCTGACCACCCGCACTTTCATTCTGGCTTTTTTTTCCAATTTCCTAGATGAGCGAGTAAAGCCATTGAGGCTTGACTCGGTTCAAATAAAGCAGCTGCACGTATTGAGCTGCAAGCAGCTTAGTATCCCTTGGAAAGAAAAGCAGACACTAACCCCTCTGCTCCTTAGTTTTCCTTACCTGTATAACAGGGATCACAGTGCCCACTTCAGTGCTTCAAATGGATGTTTGTGCTAATATTTGGGAAGTGCTTTAAAACAAAAAAAACAAGCCTAAAGCGCTGTATAAGTGCTATATCTTATTATTTTTGGTCCAGCTCATTCTTGGTGGAGTTCCCCCCTCCCCCCCTCAGGCCCCTAGGCGTGAATTCTACAGATGAGCAATGGTGCTTCAAGCAAGGTGCTCTGACAAGGCTCCAAAACCAGGTGCCACCTCTGATACTCCTTTTTAGAAGGAGATGTCTAATGGCTATGGAAAAATATAATACAGCCCCAGACAGAGTTCAGCCTACACGTTTCCCCATCCCTAACCTGAATGATCCCAGGCCAGAGTACTGTCTGTAGAACCATAATAATACTACTATGAAAGTGACTCCATTGTTCAAAACTTTCTGGGCAGGATGAGGAGTTCCACGTGGAGCTCCGTTTCTGAATACCAGCATGAATCTGGACATAAATGGGCCTATCATTTTTACTACAAATGGTAGAAGAATTTCTTTACACTTCCAAGGTATTTGAAGCAAAAATTGCACATTAGATATTTCCCTAAAACTACAACAAATAGGACTGCACACAGAACAGCCCAACCACAATGAATACTAAGGGACAAATTCTGCACAACACGCACCAGGGCAACTTTAGGAAATCAGATTCTGGTCCTTTTGGTATAAAACCTAGAGTAATCCACTAGTCAGAGGTTTGCACAAGATTTTACACTAGTGCCACAGAGAGCAAAATCTGTGCCAGTAACATCAATTAAGTTGCACAGGAGTATGTTAGTACAGATTATTATATTCTGTCTTTTACTTACCCTGCCTTTTCTGTGCATTGGGCAATAAAGACTCATCTGGAATGCACAGGGGATCAGGAGATAATCTTTCATTCTTAATGCTAAATAAAGGTAATATCTGACTTAATGTCACATAGGGAATACAAATTGCATTATAGTAACTATTTAAAAAAATAAATAAATTCTTGACTTCTCATGTAAAGATGGGCCCCAATCAAAACTCTAGCTCCATCCCCAAGTTTGGAGAAAAGTGGATCCAAATCTAAGCTTAGTGGCTTGGGACAACTGCTGTTTTTTAGAAAATAAAATTTTTAGAAGAATTTTTTTTAGTTAGAAATGGATCATTTAAGTTGGGTAAGTCCCCTACTTTGATAATTCAAGTAGCAAAAATGTAATCTTGATGTCAATAGTCTGAGAGCCAATCACAGCACATGCACTGTTCTTCTTTTCTATCCAAAAACCTACAGGGGAACCTTCTTAAGATGGAACCATTTGACCCCCACATAAAAAAAACAACTTCTAGAAATTGGGGTTCATTGTAGACTTAATATTTAAAAGCTGACTCATACACATCCTTACAACTGCATGAAGGATCCTACTGAAGCCCATCTGAGCAAGGAGTACTCATGCATGTCAAGATTTATAGAATCAAACTTCTTATAAGAATTAATGCAAGCAGGTTCCGCCTTATATGATGCACAATAATCCTTGTAGATAGTTGTTATAACTAACTGTTGTAATATTGCTGTGTTCATCTGTGAAAGTTTAAAGGTGTTATAACATGTCCTTTTGTTCCAATAAGCATAAACGCAAAAAATAGATGATCTCCAAAGACCTTTGGGATCAACAGGTTACTTGCTGAAGCACAATCCCATATTTTAGCAACATAGTATCACACCTTCAAAAACGTAGCAGATACAGGATACTAAAGAAAAAAGGACTACTCTTTTAAACACAACTAGAATTCAGAAATCCTTTACATGCCATTTAAGTTACTGGTACTAGTTTTTAAATGTATAAAAATATTAAGATAATTAATTGTAAGCTACTTAAAACAAATCACTAAACAGAATTCTTTTTTAAAATTTAGAACTTTTTCCTTAACTTTAAAGAGGAAACATGCTTTATTTTAAATAAATTATGGACTAATATGAACCTAATGTCATGAAGTCAAAGCAAAAAATCAAGTATAGTACAATTTGTTCTAATACTGTACATATATATTTACCAATATATTGTACTTATTTTGTCATACTTTAGCAATAAATTTATAGCTTGAAAACAATTAGATTATTTTCATAATAAACTGAATCCTTAAAAGCCAATATACCTGTGAAAGCAATTTGTGTTTTTTTAAAAAACAAAAAAAATGAATTCAATATATGTACAGCTCAGTGTATGCAGTTCTATAAACTAAATACAATACACCAAATTGTCCCTGTATATTTTTTATTACAGATCTATTTTGGCGATGTGGAGGTATATCTTTTATACTGCTGTGAATCCTAGCATATAAGAAGGATGTTTCAAATATCTGCATTCTTTAGGAAAGAAGCAAACTTTAACCCAATGGCAATCAATTTAATCAAAAGAGAAATGCATTGTGAAAAACAAGTAGTACACTAAAGTTAGTAGATTGTTGTGTGTTTTTTTTATTGGCATTCACATTTTTTTTTAAATTCTGAAATGGGTCTGTACATTAACTTTATTAATAGAACTTAAATATAAGAAAAAGGTCCCTAAAATGATCAGCATTTTCCCCGAAAATAAAGTGCTAAGATGTGTGTGGTCATTAAGAGAGTTTGCTTCTTTTGTTTGAAAAAAGACAGGTTAGCAAGTATTTGACTGGAATCTTTTACCATGGATTCTCAAGCTTCAGCATTCAGATTTTTTAGAAGATTCTGGCTGCTCTTCTAAGCTCAACTGCAGTTCGTTCTGGCATTTTGGCATCTCACCTTTGACAGCTAGATTGATAACTTTCAACCATTTCTGTTTCAGTTCCTCACTGTCTGCAGCAAAGCTGTGCACAGACTTGGACTGGGTCAGTTTGAAGCTATGCGGGAGGTCAGCACTTCTGGGGGTGTCATCTACTGTATAGCCTAGTAGAGGAATCGTAGCCAGAGCTTTAACATCCTAGAAAAAAAAGAAATGAACCTTGATCACAATAGGATTTTTTGTTGGAAAAAAGAGTCCTTGACTGGTCAGAGGTCCACCTCACCCCCCCCCCAATTCTCCAGTTACTTGACTTTCCCCGACTTCCTCAACAGGAACCGAGGAACTCCCAGTCTCCCATGCCTCCACGCTGGAGCCCATCCCAGGCTCCACAAAGAGGCATGGGTTAGCACAAGTCCCAGTGAGAAAGCCTGGGACACTGTGGGAGTCAAGGAACCTTATTTTTTATGGTGGCACAAACTAAAAAAAAGGCAACTTGTTTCCACTGCTAGTTGTTCAATATAGGGGAAAAAATGATTTTTTTTCTGTTTCCCTCTCCTTCTGTTTCTTTACATACCTGTGGAGCTCCATACATGTACAGCACAAGAGCTTCATGTTTAGGAATAACACACCATGCTTTCTGCCAAGGCTTTGATTTTTCCATGTACTGAAGAAAACTACATATGACACTGTTTCCAGAGACCTCAGCTGATTCAATCTAAGGAGACAGTTCACAGTGTAAGAAGGAAAATTTCCCTTAACAAAAATGTAAGATGTTGTAGAGAACACAACACAAAAATTAAAATACAACACCATCTTTTACATTTGTTTGTTCCAAATGCTGATACAATTAAAAACTGAGTACTGTAAAGTCTTATGATTGGGTTTATGAAGAATTAAAAATACAGTTCCTCTGGAGCAAGAAAGAAACTTAGTTCTTTCTCTCTCAACATTTTTAGAGTATGGCTAACAGAATCACCCTGCACACCTGAATTTCCTTCTGCTCAAATAACAAATTTGCTGTATATTTTAGTATCTGAAACACTCTTTATCTAACTTTGTGCCCATCACAATGTTATCTAAGTGCTAGTAACTGCCCTTCATGATTACTCTTCTATGTTGGCAGTAAAATCTTCATAAAAGCATCCAACAGAAGTGCATTTCCAAAGATAATGTATGAATGCAAGAATTTTTCTTGGAACTACCCAGAATTAAAAAAGGGAGATTAAATAAAAAGACGACTTGATAGACTGATTTATTACTGGGATTCAGCAGTCATACTTGGAACCTATCATAGGAAGAACATGACTGATTTTTGGAATTAAGATTTTATTGACATTAATTGGGACGAATGCAAGAAAAGTGATAATATTGCAAACGTTATCACCAAATGATCACAGTACCTCATATCTACCCATATATACTCTTCATGTCTACTCATATATATTCTTGATGGTTTGAGATACTGAACTTACCCTGCAACTTAGGCAGAATTTTGGAAGGGGTAGGAGGTTCTACTGGTAGTGGTTTTGAAACTGCTGATAGGCCTGTATTGTTTAATGTAGCCCTTCCAATATGCATTGGTGAATAGAGTGCAACTATGCTGTGAAACTTGCTACAAACTGAATCTACAAATTCTACAAATCACCATCATGTGTATCAGAATTTTTAAAATAATTTTCCCAATCAATATTAACTTCTGCTGTTAATTTCTCCTGATATTTAACCCCCCAAAAATCTATACCAGAATAATACATTTTTGCTACTCTAGACAGATTTAGAACTAAAATGAAGTATTGTTACGTGTATTTTCTTATATACACCTTCTTAATATCATCAGAAATATTTGAAATTCTTTCCATTTTGGCCAGGAAAGTTAAAAGATTAAGTAACATACTGTAAAGATTTGCAGAGAGGTCCAAAATAACAACAACAATAATAATGATAATAATAATAGTAATAGTAGATTTAAAAACGTAAAGTTGCATGTGCTATTGAAATCAAAGGGAAAGATTAGCTTTCTCCAAATGTCACTGCAGCCAACTAGGATACGCTTAACTGATTTGCATATACCACAGCTTGGGTCTGAGGCAGGTGGATACCAGGACCTGGTACCTCTCCCCCACCCCCTTCTTCCCGCCACCTGGTTGTGGCTTGCTGCAAGGAAAGCACCCATACCTGCTGAAGCCCCAAGTATCCGACTGGCATGGCAACAGCAGAGCTCCCCCCTGCTGAAACCCCGGGTACCTGACTGTGGGGTCAGGAGTAGAGCCCCCACCACCAAATACTGCCAAAGACACAGCTCCGCAGGCTGAATCTGGCCAACCCTTAGCATGTGCAATCTGATTGAGTCACCTTGCTCCACACCTGAGTGTTGCTTGCTGTGGAGCTGGTAAAGAACACAATCATATTGGGCCCCTAGGACTCTACAGCCAATGAGAACCCAAGCCATTCTTTCTGCATTTAGCAAAATATGGCCTTTTAAAATATGCCTACACTTATACCTCCAAGATGCCTCTCTTCTTCTTTTCTTCGCTGTCTGTGCAACCGGTTATAATATGATAGCAGTCTTTACAAACTTTGTTCAATTTATTGCTGTCATATTCAAGATGAACTTTATAATCCGAACATTTCCAGCAAACCACCTTAAGGGAAGGGAGGGGATGAGAGAGAGATTAAGCAAACAAAATTAAGCAGGTACGACTACAAGGTACAATATAGCATTGTGCAGCAATCTGAGCTGCATGAGTTAGCTAGGGTCCCAGAAATAGCAAAAGTGTGTTAGCACAGGACTCCACTTTGTTTGACTCACTATAAAGAACAGGCAGAGGGCTGCACTGTTGTAGCAGTATTGTTTCTGGGACCTCAGCTAGCTCATTTAGAACTAACTCGGGTATCTCTCTCTACCTGGGATTGTATTATTTTCTATTATATTTCACTGTTTCTTATTCTAGTTGCTGGCTTGAGCAAAATGTTAATAGGTTCATTTTAATTATTTTGTAATGTAAACCTCAATTCAGGATGGGTGCTCAAACAACATGCTTACACTTGTGCTTACTAGTGGCAGAACTGTACTGTTACCAAGTGCGTCCACAGGTGGCATATAGAGGAATTACCTTCAGGGAAGGTTAGCTGTGAAATAAGCGGGGTTAATTCTGATGAATAAATAGTTGCAGACCAAGCAGTGGCAGCACCACCAGGATGTGGTGGGGACAGCAGATGGCAAAGCTTTCCCTCCTGAAAAGCCAAATATATCCTTTGATGGTGCTGTGATATAGTGAGTATACACTGCCACTATAATAAGCCAGCTCAGCCCCCAGCTGTGAGTCTACAAGTCCTCAATGGCACAGCAGACAGAAGAAAACATAAGAATCTCAGCAGCTGAAAAGGCAGATGAAGACTACAGTGGAACAAGCTCTCCAATTTTCTTGGCCAATTGTCATTGGATCAAGGTCCCGTTCTGTCAAGAACCATTGGCTCCCAAACAACAGCTGCACCAGAAGTAATGCTGATGGAAGATCAGTGTTGAAAGACTCCAGGACCCAATCAAGCAAGACCTTTTCCACCAGCACTCAAAAAAACTGGCAAATTCCAATCAACAGCAATGGGAGAATATTGGCAGTGCTTGGGATGCCTTCAAGTCCACCATTTTCAATGCCTGTGAAGAGACACTTGGATTCCCTGCCGAGAAACACCAAGCCTGGTTCAAGGAGAATGACAGGAAGATCCAAGAGTTGATGAACCACAAGTACAAGGTCTTTTGTGCTTGGCAGAACAACATCAGCACCATGTAAAGGAAATTGGATCTGCAACAAGCCAAGTCAGAGGTCCAAAGAAGGACCCACAATATAAAGAACAGATGGTGGGAAGACAAAGCGTTGTACAGTCCAAGCACTCAAGGACCAACCCCCTTGAGACCTAAGGATAGAGGAGACCCGATCAAGGAAAGGGGAGCCCTCAATGCCCATTGGGAGGAGCATTTTGAAGACCTTATCAATCAAGATTCTGTTGTTGATGAGAGTGTTCTCAATTCCACACAACAACACCCAGTCAGAGATGATCTCAGAATCTCTCCAACTCTTGACAAGGTGAGGAAAGTCATTAAACAGATGAATAATGACAGGGCATCTGGAGCTAACGGAATCCCTGCCAAAATCTTTAAGCAGGGGGAAGAGGAGCTCACGTCACAGCTCCATGCCCTGGTCTTAAGGATTTGGAATGATGAGGAAATCCCAAATGACCTCAGGGATGCCATGATTATGACCATCTTCAAGAAAAGAGACAAGTCTGACTGTGGAAATTAGAGAGGGATCACCTTGCTGTCCACCACAGGAAAAATCACCGGAAGAACTCTCCTGAATCATCTCCTTCCACTTGCTGAAGAGCTCCTCCCAGAATCTCAGTGTGGGTTTAGGGTATGAAGAGACATGCCTGACATGATCTTTGCTGCTTGCCAGCTACAAGGAAAATGCCAGGAACAATAAACTTCTCTACATGGCCTTCTTTGACCTCACAAAAGCCTTCGACTCTGTCAACCAAGAAATGCTGTGGAGAATCCTTCTGAAGTACAGATGCCCACTGAAATTCCTTACCATTCTTTGCCATGATGGTATACAAGCAGTGGTTCTCAATAATGGATCTATCACAGATACATTTGAAGTTAAGATGGGAGTTAAGCAAGGCTGCATCATTGCTCTAACACTCTTCTCAATATTCCTTACTGTGATTCCCACTGGAGTGGAGCTAAACTACTGAATGGATGATACATTTTTTAATCTCACCAACTTCAAGCCAAAACCAAGACCACCCCAAGTTTAATTATCAACCTCCAGTACACTAATGATGCTGTAGTGTGTAGTCAATTGGAAGCAGACCTTCAGGCAATCATCAACATCTTTACCGAGCACACAAGAAAATGGGACTGATGCTTAACATTCAGAAGGCTAAGGTCCTTCATCAACAAGCTCTTAGTGAACAGTCCCCAGCTCTGGTAATTCAGGTTCACAGTGAGATTCTGGAGAACACTGAATATTTCCCATACCTCAGAAGCCATCTCTCAGAGAAGGCTGGCATTGACAAAGAAATCCAACATCACCTCAAATGTGCAAGTGCAGCCTTCAGACACCTGAGGAAATGGGTGTTTGAAGATCATGATATCAGATCTGAAATCAAGCTCATGATTTATCATGCAGTTGTGATCTCCACCTTACTGTATGGGGTTGAAATGTGAACGACACACAGGAGAAACCTCAAGTCATTGGATAATTATCATCAATGCTGCCTGAAAAATCCTTCAGATCCAGTGGAAAAATAGACACACCAGCATTAGCATCCGTTTGCTAGCAAACACCATGAGCTTTGAGGTGATGATCATCAACATCAACTTCACTGGGCTGGCCATATCATCCGGATATCTGACTCCAGACTCCCAAAGCAAGTTTTATTCTCCCAGTTCAGTCAAATCATACTCAAGAGGAGGGTCAGGAAAATGCTTCAAGGACGTTCTCAAGGCCAACTTGAAAAAAATGCAGCATCAACATCAGTTTGTGGGCGACTGCCCAGGACCACCCCAAGTGGAGAAAGAGTCTGCTGTAAAGATCTCAGTACTTTAAAACCTTACAACAGGAGACAGAGAAGCAGACTGGCATAAACACCATGCTGCGGACCGAATCAAGAATCCAGAGCCATCCACTGTGCGTGAAAATAAGTGCCTGAGTTGCCATGGGTGACTGGTGCCTCCCGAGTCTGGGGGGGCACCAGATCGCCGACGGGGGGGCGGGCAAGGAGCCCAGCAGCTGATCCCCGAGCCAGCAGCAAAACCAGAAATGCACTTTCACCAGCACTTCCAGTTTCGCGGCTGGCAGTTCCAGGGGGTGCACAGCTGATCTCAGGGGGTGCACGTGCACCCACATGCATCCCCTACGTGTCACCAATGTGAGTTGCAACAGAGTCTACTGATTGCAAATTGGCCTCATCAGCCATCTGTGGACCCCCAAAGAAGATAATATGGAAGACAATCATCCTTGACTGCGAGGGATTGCCAAAGAAAAATAAACAACTTATGCTTAGTCACCAAAGCCCATCAGGACTTTAAACTGTGTATTAGGTCAGCATTAAAGAGAGAGTTTGAAAGTATAAGTCCCCCTGCTTTAGAAGAAGCACAAGAGGCATGCTTACAATGTAGTTCACTACACATTAAAAACTAAGAAAGCTTACACATCTTAGATTCAGTTAGTCTGTATGGTATATCTCTACCCTGACTTCTCCCTTATTTCAGGCTAACATGGTTATTTCTCTCTACCAAGAACTATAAAACAACACTATTTTTTGTAAGACAAAAATCATTCTTGCTCGTCTTAGAGTTATCCTTTAAAAGCGATTAGTTAACAAACCTAAATGTACATCCATACATAGCTAGCTGAAAAATAGAGAAGAAACACTGAGCTAATTTCATGCTGCATCCTCATTATTTTTTTTTTTTTAGAAAGATAATACCTTTTTGTTTTAAATAAAATAAAACAAGAAAGCTGAAATCTAAAATGCAAGCAAGAAAGGCTTTGACTGAAAAAAGTATTTCCAACAGGAAATACTGCTTGGAGAAAAAACCCAGCATGAAAATTCAAGAAAGTAACAATAGTTAACTTCCTCAAAAAGAGTCGACTGGACTTGTGTATAAATGGAAATACTCTGTGTACATCAAGAAAAAAAAAAGTTACTGTATGCTTAGTCTCCTCCCCATGCCCATCTAGATCACTTGAGCTTTAACTGGTACCTCTAGCGTTATTAACTATCATTGAAAATCTCTTGAATTGCTATTCATTTCAGAAAGAAAAGGCTTTATCTTTGTTAATTCAAGTGGGCACTTGAAGACAAGAGAAAGGATTCCAAAAACCAATGGAAGAATTTGTCATCAGATCTGTGTGGCTGGCACTATGCCTGAAGTGCAGCACAAAGCATAAAAGGAAAGCTGTGAATGAAGTAAGTATTTCAGTCATGATTATCACATACATGCTTGTGCACACCACCTCTCTCTCTCTCTCTCTCCCTCTCCTCCCACCTCTACACACACAGACAGACAAACACACATGCATGCATGTACACAGTAACCAGTATGGTAGAGTTTAAAGTAAGGGCTTGCATCCCCATCTAGTGGAGAAAGAACCTGGTGATTTAGTTTTGCTCTATTACTTTTATTTCTAGTCAGACAAAGCAAATAAGCTGGTATGCTCTGGACTGATAATTGAGGCATTTTGCATCTCTCGTAAGAAAAGAAATTTTGCTAAGAACAATTTCCAAGAAACTTAGCACAGTTTTTGCTGACTTGGTCAGTGAAAGACTCCTGTTCTAATATGCCTTCTACCGACAAACCAAAGGTTAATTGCCAAGATCTGTTGCACAAGACTCGGTCACCAAATGAGGACTTAATGTGATGGTTCATATCTGTTCTAGATCTCTGGTTACTAGCTAGCAGATCTGGTTTTGCACTTACATGGCCACACGCTCGACAATGATGCCTTCTCCTTGTCAGTGCATTGAAGGGCTCCTTGCATTTCATGCACATTGTTACTTCATTGTCTCTGATCCATCTTGGCGCTCTCTTCCCAAGCTCAGCATTCTGAAAGGGGGAAAAAAAGGCCAATTGTTCAGTATTTTTAGTAGAGAAAATAATTATTCTCTTCCTCTGGAAAGGAAATGTTCAAGCTACATTTTGAAATCTGAGAAAGCAATAACTAACAAAGAAAGCAGTCAAAAACAGAAACCATTGCAAAAAAAGGCACTCCAGCATTCATTCAAGAAAGAATGGGATTGTTCTTAGGGCATGGTTTGGCATCATGAACGGAAACGGTTGACCAGCAAAATGATCACTTTGTAATTCCACTGCTACAATCCTAACTCTGGACATACAGCTTCTGCCAACCTCCTGTAATGCGCCATGTGCAATCAAAAATGGACAAAGCAGGCACTGGCATTACAAAGTAAAGTAACCCAACTTACAGAAACTTCAGCGGGCATGTCCTCATATTCTTTTGCAATAGCATTTCTGAAGGTTTCGTTCCTCTGCTGAAAAGCTTCTATGGTATTCTGAAGAGCCTGTAAATGCAATAGATAAGCATCTCACGAATACTACTTAACAGATTCTCCAAAATGAAACTGCTCATTAACAAAAGGAGGCAAAATAGGAACTGTGATCAACAATTGATTAGATCACAAATTATCTTATTTTCATATTAAATACCACAGGCACAGGCTCAAAGAGAAAACCATTGAAAGAATTAAAGTTAAGAATGTAGATTTGTTCACCTTTATCCATTCTTCCTTATCCTGTGCAGAACTGAAAAAAAAAAAAGAGGCATATTAATTCAAAACTAGTTCAAGAAACATTAGTTTGTGGTGGCTAATGAATGGAGGAATAATTTACTACAGAATCTAAGAGGTATAATGGTCCCAGCCTATTTAAGAATCCAGCAAAGCTCAAAATTGTGCACTTAAAAGTAGCTTAGGAGTTCTGGCTTCAAGACTGATGACTGCACTATTCAAATCTACAGGATTTTTCCATAATGGTAAGCAGATAAAACCCTAATGTATCCACAACACACAACCAAACAAAAAAACCCTACAAACCACAACTTTTCTATGGTACTTGGAAGCATGCTATTACCAGGAATTACAATTGCTAGTTTCATTCTCAGTGCCTGTTTAATCCTTGCAAAAGGCAGGGTAGAGTTGTACCTTATAGACTGACTAAATCAGAGAGGCATAAGCTTTTGTAAGGAACAGCTTAATCAGATGTTATGAACGGACTGCAAGGAACAGATCTTCTATATAGAAAGCAGTGATTTGAATAAAAAGGATAGGGAAGAGGGAAGGAAAAAGGAAGGGGCAGTGCTGGGAGAGGCAAAGATGGGCAGAAAACAAAAAAATAACAGTTAATCCACTGAGACCCACAGGGGTTATGAAAGATAATCCAGACAACGAGATAAAACTCCATAGTCTCTGCAGTCCTCTACCAACATCATTTACATCACCACCTGCTTACAGGGCCTTTCTGCTGTGTATACGGGACAGATGGGGTAATCCTCACATGAAAGAATGAACAAACACAGATTTGACATCAGTTCCAAAAAGGCAACCAAGCCTGTGGCTCTTAGAACACTTTAGCTTCTCTGGCTAACGTCCTTTAAAAAAACAACTTGAACTCAAAATAGTGGAACAAGAAATCATCCAGACTTGGGCAGGTGCAGGAGCTAGAAGCCAGAGGAGGGAGGGGGAGTCTGGTGCAGCCAAGAGCCATGGCTGGAAGGTTAAATGTGTGGGAGCCAAGGTGGGGTGGGAGAGAGGCGTGTGGGTAGGACTGCGAAATTTCAGCAGCCATTTTTTTTTCGGAGGTGTTTCAGCCCGTTTTGGTGCCTGAAACACTGAAACAAAACAGAAGGCTCCAAAACATCTCTGAAACAAAGTGAAACCATCCTAACTGTTTCGGCGATGTTTTGGAAAATTTCATAGTTTTGGAGCTTGCAGAGAAACAGAAACTAAGAGGAAAGGGGAAGGACTGCCCTGATATTGACATCTGTAGCTGACCTGCGTCTAAAATCTCTCCCTGAGGTCCCTTCCAATCCCAATGCTCTGGGGAGGGATGGCAGCCTGCTGTCATCCCAAAAGCAGATCCGGAGGCCTGCACCCCCCGGGAGGAGTCTGGCACAGCCCCACAGCCCTCCTTTTAAAGTGCCAGGAGCCTGGGGCCGGGCAGGGGATGGGGCTGGGCAGGGCAGCCATGGGGGCTTCTCCTGTGGCTCCCTGCACTGGGGCAAAGGCAGACACAGCTGAAGGAGCTGTGGGAGGAGGCCCCATAGCTGTCCTGCCCAGCCCCAGCCCCAGCCCCAGCCCCTACCCGGTCCCAGCCTCCCAGCACTTTTCTTTTTTTTTCAAAGCCCCGCACTCACCATCTGTAGCAGTGATGATCAGGGCCTCTGAGGACTCATGGCAGAGCCCTTCCCCTCCCCACCCCAGCCTCCTAGAGGCCCTGATCACCGCTGCTGCAGCCAATGAGAGCAGCCTTAAAAAAAAAAAAAAAAGTGCTGGGAGACTGGGGCAGGGCAGGGCAGCTATGGGGGCTTCTCCCACAGCTCCCCCTGCCCAAGGAGAGACAGGCACATCCAGATAAGCCGCAGGAGAACCTTCAGCCACCCAGCTGTGCCTGCCTCTCCCTAGCCAATCCAAATTTCCGAATCAGCACCAAAACAGCGTCAAAAAACTCTGAAACAGGTTTGGCCAAATCAAAATGGAACAGTGATCCGAAACACCAAAACGAATCACTGTCCTCCGAAATGGCTGAATCCAAAACCGAAACAAAACATAGCTGTTTCACACATCCTTTGTGTGGGGGGGGGAAGGGGTTGTGCAAATTAACCTCTCATGGCACCAGCTGGATAGTCCTGGTCTATAAGGTGCAACATTACTCTGCCTTTTGCCTAACTTCAAACAAGCATGGATAACTATCTCTCTGTTTAATCCATGCCGTTCCATAGGGATAAAAAATGGACCAGACGTGGTGCAAAGTGAAATCAGGCTTGTCAAAGGAGGACTAAGCCACCCAACTGGACTCATGGGGGCAAGAAATAAAGCACACGAAATACAAAACCATACTCTAGCTTTCAGACAAACAGTAAGGTTCTGAATGGACTTATATAACAGGATTGCCTGAGCTAGCAGAGGACTGGACTCTGCATATGGCAACACAGCACAGTGTAATGACAGGTAGAAATACCCAAACCAGCTCTGAATGATCTAATTTATGCTCTGCCAAGGCTTTCATAGATTTCATAGATATTAGGGCTGGAAGGGACCTCGGAAGATCATCGAGTCCAGCCCCCTGCCCAAAGGGCAGGAAGTCAGCCGGGTTCATAGGATCCCAGCAAGATGAGCATCCAGTTTGCTCTTGAAGGTGTTCAATGTGGGCACTTGCCTCCGGTGGCAGGCTGTTCCAGACCTTGGAGGCTCAGACAGTAAAGAAATTCTTCCTTATGTCCAGCCTGAAACGGTCTTGTAGTAGTTTATGACCATTCGACCTAATCGTCATCCCTTGGGGCACTCTGGTGAACAAACGTTCCCCCAGATACTGGTGGTCACCCCTGATAAACTTATAGGTGGCCATCAGATCACCCCTGAGCCTGCGCTTTTCCAGGCTAAAGAGCCCCAGGGCTCTCAGCCTGTCATCGTAGGGTCTGCTTCCCTGACCTCTGATCATGCGCGTGGCTCTTCTCTGGACTCTCTCAAGCTTCTCCACATCCTTTTTGAATTGTGGAGCCCAAAACTGGACGCAGTACTCCAGCTGCGGCCTCACCAAGGCCGAGTACAAGGGGAGAATGATGTCCCGGGATTTGCTTGAGAAGCATCTATGGATGCAAGCCAGCGTTTTGGTCGCTTTACTAG